ACATTGCACTACGTAGCTGATATTCATGATGGATTATCGTGGAGAGATTTAGCTATGCGCCACTATTACATAACACTGTGGATAAACCAAGCACGCGGGCCATACCTCTATTCCCGAAGTCCAGACAATGGTTGGGTGGTCACATCTCGCGTAGTCTGGCGGCATGTTTGGCGAAATGCATTCATGACCTTCCTGTGAGGCGTAATGCATGAGGCGTTCCCGTTCTTGGCTGTAAGCGGCCGAGTTGGGGTCTCCTGTGCACTCCCAGATGACCACATGATGAAGGTGTGTGCGGGAGTTCTTTCCGTGCTGGATGTTAAACTAGAAACGAAAGATAGGTGTTATATGAAGTATATTGGTATCTTCAAAAGTAACAGGTAGTGTAAAATAGTGGCTCTTATGTTTTTGATTCGTTCTATTGTTCTACTTGTGAAATTCTTCAACTTAGGTTCATTCAATCCTCTATGTCGAACTGTGAAGCAAAAAAAACCTTGACCGATCTACTACTCCCGCCAACTCAAAAAATCCCGAAGAACCACTGGTATACACACTTATTAGCACATACTAAAACACAACAATGTTATTTACCCCGACATAATGAACTTGAGACTCCTTGTGTGGGAAGGTGGCGATGTTGCACCAATACACTGTATCCCGGTCGTTGCTGAGGTTATGCTTTTGGATGATCGTCCACTTTTTCGCGTCTTCTGGCATCTCCATGACTGCACTTTGTGGTTCCAGAAGGACTAGGTAACGTGAGCCGCTTTTGGATGACCCGTGGTACTGTAGGGCCGTTGCGTTGACCGGGTCTTCAGCTGCATAAGCGTAAATCACCCTCTTGGTTGTGTTCTGGAAATAAAAGAAAATTGGATTACTGCATGTATCGACATAGTCATAGTAAAGAAAAAAATATGCCTCAGTGAGAAGGAGAATATAAGAGTACTGGTTTCTTTACCATGAAGGGCATGTCCTTGTCATCACAGGTGCTGAGATCTCGCACAACAACCATAACGGTGTGCGTTGCGTTCTCGCTGGCCCTCAGCAGCCTCCAGTCCTGCTGTTCGTCCATCTCTGGCTTGACGTTCCCGGTTCCGTGGCGATCCTACAAGCGAAGAAAAACCGGCATTTACAATTGGAAGTTTTCATTGAGATCTCGGAATTCCATCATACCTTCACAATTTTCTGATATTATTCGTGACATTTTGATAGTGTCTGGAAATCCCCATTCATACAATATTCATACAATATGTTATTCATCACCTACCTGTATATGACCAACTCCATCCTCGTCAACCCAGCCCGTTATGATGTCCGCGCCCGCCATTGCGCCGTTGGGAGACACTCCGAAGCCCACCCATCCTAAGGTTTCCACAGACAACTCAAGCGTGATTTCCTGGAATAAAAACATATTGTATCTCTCCAGCGCTTGCATAGAATGGTGATAATGTACACAGTATAAAGACATATTCCCTATGCATTCTCTAATATCATGAGACGCTCACCCCTCTCTCGATGTCCACTGCCCAGGAGAGATGGAATTTGCCCTCGTCGTCGACAACAGCGGAGTGGGGAAGGCGGATGAAGAGAGCCTTTTCGTCCATCTCCCCCGCCATCTTTGAAGCCTCGTGCTCCTGTCGCTTCTCCAGGTAGGTCGCGTTGGACGTGGAAGCCTCTTCACCAAAGCTGGACCCGCATGCTGTCAGTAGGAGCAGCACTCCCGCACACCATGACTGTAACGACGGATACAGTTGGCAACCGATTGTTGAGGTACCGTAATGGTCTTAAAGAATACATAAATAGCACAGACACTCCTCATTCCACCAATTATCATATGAAGTGATATAATATGATATACCATATTATATCTACTCATAAGTGCAGTACCCCATAGATAGTATATTGTTAGTCACAAATCTTATGCATATACGCACAGACATTGAATTAGTGTTTGTGCGTTGAGCAGATAATAGTGATACTAAAAACTTAATAAAAACCAAACCGATAACAAAACTCAGTAATCACACCTTCCCGAACCATCACTCATAACAAAACACAAAAGCACTGTAACACTCACCATCGACATCATGCGTAACACAGAGAACACTGGACCCAAGAACAGACACGGGGATCGAGAGCGAGGAGAGGACGAGAGAGAGAGAATGTTGACTCGACCACCAACGCTAGAGACACTGCGTACCGTCACCTCTCCGCCAGCCAGGTATACGGCATCGCGTCAGGGTCTCAGGTCACGCAAGGTCAAAGCTTGGGGGACGCGAGATGCTTACCTGCGTCGGTTTTTTTTCTTTTGAGGAAGATTGTTGTAATCTAAGACCATTTTCATTTGCTATTCTTGTGTAAGTTTGTTTGTTTTTTTAGAAACGTATCTGTATATTCCAATATTCGTGTTGTCTAGATATGTTTAAGTAACTTACATATACATATGTAGTACATAAGCATGAAACACTGATTCTCTCACATTCATACATATGTGTGTGTATGC